ATATATATATATTATGCGTTATAAACCTACGATGTAAAATATATTAATAAGTTAAAGTAAACTTATATAAAGTTCATATTAGATTTTAAAAAGGCTTCTAACAAACTAACAAAACAGACTTGGGTTTCAAAATTATAAAGCACGCCGAATCAGATTTAAAAGAGACATAGTTTGACTCTAATTATTTTCACCCGTAAACAAATTTTGGAATTAAATTTTCATGAAATTGATAGATATAGGATCTAAGTTCAGAGACTAATTTATCATTGTGTGTGCAATGTGTGTCACCTAAATTACATAATTTAAGGTGCTTCATTAAAGACTAAGAATTAACCAAAGACTTTTAGAAATCTTAATCTCATAATTTCATGAATTTTATCTTTTAATTTTATAATAAAAATAATTTTATTTTAATCTCTAACATATATCATTTTTTTATTCTCTATAGTTTTATAAACTTTAGATTATAGATTTTATTTATAAGTAAAGTGGGTTCAAACATCTCATAGGTCCCAAGTGATCCGATAAATAAGTTCTTATATATTTTTTTATAATCATATTATTGATATAAAGTATTTATTGACTTTGTTAATGATTAATCTTTGGATTTTTTATCGTGAAACTTGACTATTTACCCTGATATCTTATTTAAGAAAAATAAATTCAGTATTATTCAAATTAATGACTTATTGATATGAACCCTTATTTATAAATATTTATAACAATATACATGATTTAATTAAAAGTGACATATTTTTTATTACATTAAAAAATATTATTATATTTTTCATTCAATTTACTTATATATTATCATTTACCAATAGATAAAAAGACATTTCTTTACCTCCAACAAAAAGTGTTTATAAATTAAAAAAGTGAGTAATTAACTTTTAAAGAGAACAATTTTTTTTTCCTACATACGTTTTTTTTTTGTATTTTGCCCATAAAAGATATATTACTGAAAGAAAAAAGAGTTAAAATACAATAGAAAGGAGTAATCATCCTTCAAAAAGCAGACACCAAAAAAAATGATATCTCTTTTATATAATGTTATGTTATAAATTATAAAATGTTATATAAATAATAAAAACAAAAATAGTACATATCTAAATAAGAAGCACAACCATAAGACCAAAATAGTGAAACAATAAAACCAAACTAGAAAAAATTTTAAGTGACCAAAATCATATTTTATCCTTTTATATATGAATATAATCCATAAAAAAACAATTAAAAAACATAACTTCATAATCATATTACAATTTTATATTTTATATATAAAAATATATTAAAAAAAGAGAATTTATTTTTAAAGTAATATAAAATAATATAAAAAATTATCTTATAATTATATTTTATAAAAAAAAATTGGATCCTCTTAATAATGGATGCGGAAAACTTTTGGATCCTCTTAATCATAGCACCTCTAAAAGAAACTCAAGGCAATACCTGTCTATAGCAATAGACAACATGAACTAACAAAAAAAAAGGAAAATAATATCATTAAAGACTAAAATAAAATAAAATTTATAAAATATATACAACAAATGCCTAGTTAAACCTAAGCAAAGTGAAGAAAGAATGCAATGAAAGACAGGTAAAAGGGAGAAAGAGAGCTGGTGTTACACAACTGCTATATAAATAAGTCGTAATTTTTTTAATATAAAACTATTCACTAGTGTTATCTTTTATTTTTAACTCTTCCCAGAAAACACATTAGAAATTAAAATAAAAAAGAACAGACAATACCAAATCACTCCAAGAGGATAAACAACTAAACCAGTTATGAAATGAGTTTCTCATAAGACAATACTTCACTTTTTTTCTTTTTTTATAAAACAAGAATGATATGCACAGGAATAAAACTTTACTAGTAACAACTTTAAAACTCAAACGTGGGTCTTTAACATTTGGATGAAGAAAACTAGAATATATTTGTGATAAAAGCAAACCTTATGGGGGGAAAAGTGTCCCTTAGTAGCCCACAAGGCATAAAATACTTTTGAAAGAAATCAGAAAAGAATAATATGTATTACTTTGAGCTTAGATAATAGCACCTATATTCCCCCTCTATACTTACTCCTGCTTATATTATAATAATACAAGAATATTCGAACGAGTGTCCCTTGCCCACTTCTACAAGGCCAAAGTTATAAAAGAATATGCTAGAAAAATTTTCTTTTTCTTTTCCCTTTTTGCTAGAGACTATGGAAGTTCAAGTTTCTTAAGAGCCAATCAAATGCTAAAAATTGAAACAAGCCAACAAATATCAAGAGTCTAACTCAATTGGTTGGACAAATACTTGGAAGTTATAAACGTCCTTGATACCAATTTCGTTTCCCTCAAGTGTTGTAAGCCCCCTATGCTGAGTTAAATTCTCACAAGTATTGTAAATTCTTGATACCGGGGTCAATTCTCATAAATAAATAAAAACCAACAAATGACATATAATGTAACTAACAGCATGTTCATTATCCTATGATGTCCCATGTTAACATTAACAACCGGTTGAACTACACAAGATAAACCAGTCAAAGGAGAGTGTTGGTACATCAAGAGTTTGTCTCTTTCTCCATAGTCTTCAGACCTGTTCATCCATCCATGTTGGTTGGAGTTGACTAACCACTATAAAACTGTACAAAATGCAAAAATGAGAAGAGAATGAAGGAGTGGTTGACTGACTTCAACAGAAATCACAAACACCAATCATCAATCATTCTTTTCCCCCCACCATAATATCTATCATTCACACCACAACCACAAGAACAAAGCCAAGAATGATTTGCCGCTTGGCACATATATTGCCAAGAATGTTTACAGATAACCAAGGTATCACCAAATATGTCACTAGGAGATACAAACCAACCTCGGCCTCTAATCCCCCATCAATTGTGGTTCAGTTGCTGACCTGAACATGCCCTTTCCTCCATTCTTTCCCCTGAGGAAGAATGATATGCTGAAGATTGCAAACCGTTGTGGTTATGGTAGGAGCCACTGACATTTTGGTAACTGGGAGCTCCAAACCTGTTGTGCACTTTTGATGCTCTTGCATCTTGTTGCATGTTAGGAGAATTCCAGGTTTCGGCAGAGTCAGAATGCAAAGGTTCAGAACCAGATGAACTAATTGATTGTGATGAGAGGACAGAATCAGTACCATTATCCTTTTCCTTGCCCGAGTTGTTTGAGCCATCAGCATCAGTTTTCTTTGCAAATCGTCCTCCAGTACCCCTTGCCCTTCTCATAGCATGCTGATGCCGAGATTCATGCAGATATGGCTGTGTAGAACAGAAGTTAGCATAGCCCAATAGAGATCCCAAAAAGATTAAGCAAGGCAGTAGTACTAGTAGTAAACGATAAACTACAAGTTGTTCCTTATTTACAATTTATGATTTTCTGCATAGGGAACATGTTCATGAAGATTTTCATTGTTCCAACTTCCAAATTTGGAATAAAGGAGAATCAATTTGTTGCATCATTAATCAAACATAATCATGGACAAAATAGACATTACTGAAAATGATATTAATGCACAAACATCTTGAACTACACACTAACAAAAAACTGATCTTTCGGTAGACAATGGTATAGTATTACAACAGGAATCTCACATTCCAAAATTTTCACCTAAACATATACAATGTCTGTGAGCATGTTATGCCCTTTCAAACACAATCACATTCATATGGAATATAAATGAACAAAAAATTTCGAAGTAGCTAGGTGACTTACAAAGTGTACAATAGATCCCTGGCTTATTTACTACAAAACAGCTATAAAACAGAGGAATTCAAAAGCAGAATATTGCCCAAAAATGGATTTGCATGGGGAGATGGACTGGATATGAGAAATAAGCTAGTCAGGTTAGCCACTGATCCTGCAGCAACCTTATTGTCTTTCAAGATCCAAACAAGTTTTAAAGATTTAAGCTCAAGGAAAATTAAATTTTATAAGGTCCGAAAATTGCTAGGCTTCTGTTTCACTTACATAGTATCCTAGGTGGATAAACTTCACTGGTTAGTTAAAATTTATTCTTGTCCCAATGATTTTTGTTTTAAGATCAGCAAAAGGAGAGTAATGAGGTTTAGTTCACTAGTGCAGTTAAAGGCAACATAGCTGAAAATAAAATATGGTAAGATATTACTTGCCCAAATAATAAAATATGGTAAGATATTACTAGCCCAAATTACTACAGCAGGAAAAAAAACAAATATGCAGAAAGATTAAAGATAGCTCTGATGCATTTTACCTTTCTAGATTTTATTAGCTTCTTTTCAAGCTCTGCTTTAGCACGAGCCTGTCTTCTCCTCAGAATTCCTTGGTACTGTTTGGCATTAACATACACAGGCTCTTGAGCCATCTCAAGCGGCAAAGGCATTCTGGCATGAGGCATTCCTATAAAAGGAGCATATCCCTAATGATAAAAATATCATATTGTTATTTATCTCTCAGTTATCCAAATATCACCAATGCTATAAACAAGACAATAGACAAAACAAAATGAAACAAATTTATCATTATTCCCTTAAAGATTATGTACTGACCACATTTCTTATCAGACTAATTTGTGAAAATTGCAAATCAGTAATTGTTATACTATGTAATAACCTTAACACAGATTAATGTCACATACCATCTGTTGGTGACCATAAGCTGCCATCATGCCCCCATAATACGGATCCTGATAAGGATTTGTAGCACATGCCTGCATCAAAAGAATTTGAAGAGTCCAATCCATTCCAAAGGCATGCAACTATAAGTTCTATAACAAAGATTTACCATGAAAATGATATGCATGAATCAGCAACAATTTACACTATAGAACAAAATCATTGATATTTGGACCATGTCTATATGTTAAAACAGTGATAACAATTAAGGAAAAAATACTAACAATTGAATGACCAACAAGTTCCAGCTGTGGCGCCTGTGTAAGGCATTCTTCGCGCATGGAAGGTGCAGATGATGCTGTGTGCTGCATCCCTTGCTGTTCTTGCCCATAATTTCCTGCAAAGAAAAATAAAAATAAATATATTAATACTTGGAAGAATGAAAAAAAAGTACATCAAATAAAATTTGAAGTGCTAATTCATCTGACTATGTTCCCTAATTTCATCATTTGTCTTTAAATGGTTCCATGACACTCTAAAGCACCTGGTTCATTAGGAGCAGCAGGCTGTGAATCCTTAGTGGCATCATCATCTTCCTCATTCATTCCACTATTGGACAATGACTGGCCTTCTTCATTGGATTCTGAATCACCATTAGGACATTCAAGAGACGACGAATTGGACGCATTTGCCCCAGCCATTGTTTGGGCCAAGGGATTGTACCCAATACCACGCCACCAAGGCTCAGAATAAACACCACCAGACTGAAAGGTATGAGGATCTGACCTCAGTCTATTTGCAGTTTCAGACTTGGACTGCATGCCTTCAGATCCCTACAAAAGCAACATACACAGTGATACACAAATCTTATTCCTTACATTAAAACAAACCCAACTCTCAGTAAAACAACATTCACAAGCTTCATAAGGTTCAATTCAATCTTGGGAAAAAAAATTCAAAATACCCCCCACCCCCAAAGTGAAAGATTCATCATAAAAACAAGCAAGTAAACAATTCTTCTTAACCAGCCAAAAGATACAAAACTGGTATGCATTTTGTGTTCTCTAGGCCATACACTAGAGTTGCAAAACTCTTGAAAGGTAGCATCTTTCAAATAACAGTTAAAGCTATAGAAAGATAATTAACCAGGGGAACTAACACTAGCCTAAAAAATCTTAGGCCATATTTAGTCAAACAGACAACCAAACATAACCACAGGAAAACCATAGCACACATCAACAACATATGCAGTCTAACTGTCGGTCAGTGCCAGACAACCTACCACACACTACCTACGAAGCTCAGTTTCAAAAATTCTCACCAAAATTGTTACTTAACACCACCTCAAAACCCCCAATTCTCCCCCTTTTCTTCCCACATTCACAACCAACCCCACCACAGATAAAATTCCCTTCCCGCCACGAAAAAAAAAAAAAACTTTTCGTGATTCCATTCAAGAATTCTCACATCACAACCCAAACAATCACAGAATTCTCCGACTCATCTCCAAAAAAAAATCAGCCCAGAAGAACGAACCCAAAAACCCTAATCCCCAAACAAGACTGAGGGAAAAAATGAATCACGCAATCAAACTAAACCCCCAAACCAATCGAAGCAAAGAAATCAGAGCCCTCACTTACCCAAGGAAGAACAGAAAACCCTAGATTTTGGGTCCTCAGATTCTGATAGAAAATTCAAAGGAGCTAACCTGATTCCTCTTTCTTCTCTCTCTCTCTCTCTCTCTGTCACACACACACCCACAGTTCTCTCAATTTAGCACCAGAATTTAATTAATAGCAACAAACAACGCCAATAATAATAATAGAGAAAATCAAAATAAAAAATCCGAAACAGACATTTTAAAAAACCTTTTTTTTTTTTAATTTTAAAAAGGAAGAAGAATCGTAACACAACAACAACAATAACAATAACACTCTCTCACAAAGTCTTTGGTCTTGGTCTTTTAAAGTCTCGAGTCCTCAAAGCGCATTTTTATTTTTATTTTTCCGCTTCGAGAGACGAGGGTAATGATGACGTCACCTGCCTGTGGGGTCCGCGCGGACACGTGGAGCGGGAAACCGGGTTTTCCGGTGGCGGGGGAGGGTAACCGGAGACAGCCGGTTTGGGAGTGAGGTTATCGACAAAGGAAAGTGTGGGCCACGTGACACGCACTTGAGAAGCAGAAATCCGCGAAACGCGTGGCCTCTGTGTGGGGACCACATCGTTCCAGCGATGACAGCAACGTTGGCCACGTGTCCTCTTCTAGCTTTTCAATTGCAAATGCATCACCCCTTTTAGTTACCCTTACCTTACCCTACCCCAACCTCTTTTTTTTTAGGGTTTACTTGTTCCTTAGAATCGATTATCGATTTGGTTCGATCTAAAGTTATTTGGAAGTGAAATATAGGGGAATGTTTGAATGTACAATGGAATTTTCAGGTTAGAAACATGTTAATTGAAGAAGGAATTTTTTTTTGTTGTTGTTGCTGTTAATTATGGAGAAAGAATGTTATTCTACATTTTAAATTTGGTTCAAACACATGATAAATTAAAATTTTTTAAGTTTGAGTTGGATTTGGTGTTGTTTTTTTCTAATCTTTAGGTGAGAATTTTTGTAAGCATAGTAATGAACGAGTTTCTACAATAAGGGTTGTAGATATAAGTAAAGTTTACTTTGAAATCATTACATTGACTATTGAGTGTGATGCGGATGAACATTAAACATGAGATATTGATTATTTAGGGTTTTATAATGTTTAAAATTTACTTTAAAGTTGAAATTCACTACTTTGAGTGTGATCAATTGGTCTTATAGTGTTTAAAAAAAATTAAAATCATTTTGATAATTAATAATAAATTAATATTTAGTTTGTAATTGCATGATATATTGATCATGAATAAATAATTTTAAATTGTAAATGACTAAATTATAATTTCGATCATATATATAATTTTAATCTCTCTAAATAACTCTATTTTAAATTAATAGAATCAAAATTATATATTAATACAAATTATAACATATAAAATACATAACTTTATGTTTAAAATTAAATACATATCTTATAACATATAAAATATATTTAAAATTTATGCAAATAATTAAAACGGTCATATACATTTATTTTTAATTTTGATATCTTTTAGAAATATTTATCATTTTTTAATTTATAAATAAAATTAAAAAGGATAAGTTTTAAAAAGATAAAATATTTAAAAAATTATCAATATAAGTTAAAATAGTTAGATTGAATGAGAGTATATTTAGAAATATTTTTTTAATGAGAGCAATTTTATGGATTTGTTAATGAGAATGTTTTGACATTTTTTTAAATTTTTTTTAAATCAAATTTTTATTTCTTTTTAGAAATTAATAACTATAATGATTCATTATGATCATTACATCTGTGTGTGCGCGCTTGTGTGTTTGTATCTATGTTTGTGTCAGTATTAGTGTCTCTGTGTCTTTGTGTTTGTGTCTGTGTGTGTCTATGTCTTTGTGTATGTCTCTATGTCTACGTGTCTGTATCTATGTGTGTGTGTAAAAGTTTGTAAATTTCAAAAAAAAAATTAAACTATTTGATATTTTATTTTATTAATTCAAATTGATAGATAATCATAAACATTTTATATGTTGATTTGAATTTATACAACGAAGTATGATATGATTTTCAATTTTTTTTTAAAAATTTGCAAACTTGATCTATATATTAAGAACTTTTAATTCAACAGATAAATCAATGAAATTTAATGTATAACATGAGTTATTGAATAAAGTAAGTTTAGGTAAATTTACTCATAAGCAGAGTAAATCTAAGTTTCCTATGGGATTAGCCCATCAAAAACTATACCCTTCGATACTCAATTAGGGACTAGATCCTGACCTTATACCTTACTCGATTGGTCTTTTTATACATGTATGTTTAGACCTTGTCCACATATGAATCAACGTTGGTCACTTATAATTGGTATGTATTGACCTTACCCACATATTGTATCAGCTACCCACTTCAAGAGTTAACAACAACTCAATAAGGGTTTTCAACAATTAGACTCGTAGATTACCACATCAATATCCTCACAATTGAATATCCAACTTTTGAAAATAACACTTCCTTTAATCTTAAGTTAATCAACATGCCTAAATGTCTAAAGTATTCTCAACACCAACACGTTAACCAGTCAACAATATCAACATAACATGCTTAAATGCCTAAAACATTCTCAACATCACACCTCGACAATATTCATGTATATGCATTACCTCATATCAATGGATATAAATCTAACATCATTAGTCAATTTACAACAAAAATGCACCTTAACAATTCAACTACATAACCATCTGCATATATTATTCCAAATCAATATGCATAGACCCCAACCACACCTAACAACATACAACATACAATAGATTCATCTAACAAATCTATGATCGACAATTAATCATATAAACAAGTTATTATAAGGCAACCTCTACTTGGCGTTATCCACCCTACACCCGATAACATTAAGATAGAAAGTCCTTTGTCTCGTCTATGTCTGATGTCAATCAATTCATGTCCAACATGGATGAGGTAGTGACCCCTAAGCCTGGTGCGACAAAGTCCCACATTCAACTCCATTCTAGGTAGAGACGAGTTTATTTCCTTACGTCCGGTATTACTCCTTTGTTGCTCAATGCCAAATCAGACATAGACAATTCTCTCATCTCATGCTTAGTGCCACCAACCCTACACCCATGCATGAACAAGACAAAGACTCCTTGATTTGAGCCATGCCCAATGCGACAAAGGCATGCCCAACGTGAAGATGAGTTTTGCACTTCACAGATGCTCGAATTTGCTCACAACACTTGAAAATTAGAAAATTTCCCATATGGAACACAATAATATATATATATATATATATATGTGTGTGTGTGTGTGTGTGTGTGTGTGTGTGTGTGTGTGTGTGTGTGTGTGTGTGTGTGTGTGTGTGTGTGTGTGTGTGTGTGTG